TATATATAGAAAAAAAATTCTCTAGCTATTTGAGATAAGCTTATATCCAGCTATCACAAAATTACATCATTTTGAGTTAAAAATAATAATTTTTTATTCTAAAAGTAAAAATCTTAAACACAACCATAGTTATCCCTCATTCTTTTCCTTTGGTTGGTTGTTCTTCCCCTCTTTGTCGATTTCCCACTTCGTTCTTCTCCTTTGTCACTGTTGGTTCTTCTCCTTCAATACACATTCTTGTTCAACACTTGAGTCATTTCTCAAGGTCAAGCCACACTCATTTTCCCGAAAACTAAACTTTCTTTGCTATTTTCTGCGAAAATATGAAAGAAGCATGAGATTTGCAAAGGAATGTGTCAACTATTTTTCTCCATGTGGGATGACTAAAAAAGAGAGTAAATCTCCTTTTGGGTCCCTAACAAAAAATGCGGTCCCCTCTTTTGTCCCTTAAAAAAAACGTGAACTTTTGGTCCCTCTGCAATTTCAATTTTTTGAAAATGTGGTCCCTTAGAAATTCAATGAAAATCCAATTTAGTCCCTAAAAAAGGACTAATATGGATATTTTTTTATGCGATGAAAGTGGGAACTGTATTTTTTTTTAGGGACCCAAAAAAAGATTTACTCAAAAAAATTTGAACTTTGAAGCACCTGCTTTTTCCTTTTGAGTTTGTAGTGCAGAGGCGCTCTCATTTTCCACAATGCAGAATAGAATCTCAGAGATATGGGAAATCGACCAAAGAGAAATGTATTTTAAAAATCTTTCCCCTCTTTTTTTTAGAATTTTTTTTTTTTCATTTTTAACCTCAATACAACGTAATTTTTGGATGATTGGAGATAAGATTATCTCTAGTGGCTGAAGAAATATCTTTTCGTATATATATAAAAGATATATATATATATATATATATATATGTATGCTTTAATATTTCTACAGTGAATGTAGATAAGTTATCTACATTAACCTCCAAAACAATGTCGTTTTGAGTTGAAAGATTAAAAAAATATAATAAGAAAGATCATTATAACCCTGAAATAAATTATAATTACAAAAATACTTGAATTCCATCCCCAAAAGGACATCATTTTGAGCTCAATGTAGATAACTTATCTACGTTGTCTGCATCCAACAATTATAATTTAAGAAATCATACTAATTAATTAATATAGTGGCAAATTCTTTTTACACCAGTATAAGACTAACAAGTCTTACATCACATCTCATCTTGATGAACGAAAATCATAAGTTGATATTTGTACTGTAATTAATGATTAATTAATTCGTATAACTTCCTAAATTATAACCGTTGGATGCACGAAAATCAACAGTTGAGATGTTGTGCAAGATTTATTAATCTTACACCGGTGTGAAATGATCCTTATATATATATATATATATATATATATATATATATATATATATATATATATGGCAGGATATTCTTACACTGTTGTAAGAATATGAACTTTTATACCAAATCTTGATCATTAATTTGCTTGTATCTAACGACTCAAATATCTAATAAATTAGAACAGTTAAATATAAATAGGATCAACGGTCAAGAATGAGAGTGTAACTGATACTGGTGAAAAATGATCCTGACATATATATATATATATAAATATTTGTGTGAGTGTGTGTGGATAAATATTTTCATAGCCATTTTAGATAAGATTATCTATAGCTACCATTTATAACTATGTAGTACATAGTTATAATATTAAAGTTTCTTTTTTTATCTCCTCAGTGTCTTTTCAGAACCTGTCTGCTGACGTGGAGAAAAAAAAACTTTAATATTATAATTATGTATTATCGATAGTACATAATTATAAAGAATAGCTATAAATAACCTTATCTAAAATAGTTGTAGAAATATTCTTTTCACGTATACATATATATAGAGGTGGCAAAGTGGGCGGCTCGTCCCGCTCCGCTTTTGAAAGTGGGCTGAAAAACCTAGCCCGCCCCGTCCCGTTTGGCGGGTTGGACGGGTTGGTCTGCCAGCCCGAGCCTAATTTACACTGACCCGCCTCAGTCCGTCTATGCCCGCCATTAACCTGCCAAAAAATGAGCCCGCCCCACCCCGTTTGACGGGTTGGACGGGTTGGCCCGCCGAGCCGAGCCCGTTTTGCCGGCTCTATATATATATATATATATATATATATATATATATATATATATATATATATATATAATGTTAAATTACACATTAAATTATTGTTAAAATCTTATATTTAACGTATTATTACAATAATGCATTTCATTACACTTCATTTTTTATGAAGATTAAATCAAGCGCAAAGGTTAAATGGAAAATTATCGTTGCAAAGTATATTTATGTAAAGTAAATATTTATTTTATGTTGATTCTCCAAAAATAAAATTGTTTATTTCTTCACTAAATTAATATTAAAGTTTAACGTCAAATCAGTCTTTTTAGAGGACTAATGTGATGTTGAAAAATATCGTCAAAGAATTAATTTGGTTTTTAAACTGGACATCAATGACTAATTTTATTTATTTTGTATTAGCTGAGCATATTTACAACTTCGGGATCCAAAGTAAATGTTTGTTCTTCTTATCACTTTTTATTTTCATATTTGCATAAAAAAGAAAATATTGTTCAATTAAAGTAATGAAAATAATAATAATACATCAAGTGAGACTGCTTTTTATTTTAGATAAAATCAAGATTCCTCTTTACAAGACTTCTTTTAACTAATAGAAAATTGCATACTAGCAAAATACGCACTATCTTTTGTTATATCAAGTACACATTATTTGTTAGACTTATTTTTGTAAACTCATGTATACTATTTTCTTACAAATAGTTTTTTTACCTCCGTTGCTCTTTCGCACTCGCACAGACATCTTTCACGGCAATAAAGTTCCAATTTTTAACCAGCTTTACTTTACACTCATCGCCTTTTCCTTTTTAAAATAAATCCTTCACGGGTATACACTCATATATAATAGGGATTAATATTTCTTATGTTTTAAGAGATAAAATTATCTTCTAAACATATATAAAAGTGTGTAAGACGCATGTGAGAAAAAAAGAGAAAAAAATAAGCCTCATATTTTTTTATATATATGTAAGAGATAAAATTATTTTTTATAATATTAGAAACATCAATCCCTATACACACACACATATATCTATATATATGATAAACTTTTGCAATTAAATATTGAAAAATATTTAAAATTTAAGTAATATATATGTAAGGTTCGCTTTTTCAACAGTTAATGTAGATAATTTATCTATATTAAGCTTAAAACGACGTCGTTTTGAGGCAGAAATCAAGGTATTTTTGTAATTATAATTTATTGGGAATTAATAAATGTGACACAATAAATGTTATTAATTTATAACCGCTAGATTGACGGAAATCAATGATGATTAAATTGGTTGTAAGAGTTGTAAACTTTTTTGGTGGTAAGTGAGTCCCTTCCCATTTTTTAATTTTTTAACTCAAAATAATATCATTTTGAAAACAAATATAAATAACTTATCTACATTCACTTTAGAAAGCCCTATGAATGTATCCGTGACCATGACATTCATTGTCAATTGAATCATATGATTGTGCATGTGACGCTATATGCTCTTGAAAATGATGTACAAAATCTAATGAATTAAATAATACTTAGGTCACATGCATGAAGATATACAATAATAATTTTCTCCCGTTCATATCGTTTCATCTTCAAAGACGGGGTTCACAAGGGCATATAAAAAATAGAAAAACAGTTTTTCCTTTAATAGGAGAGTTGTTTTTTCATGTCAGAGTTTGTTTTGTTTTGTGTGTAATATTTTTATTTATTTTTTGTTTTTTGTTTATGGTGGGACCCATTAAAATTATGTGTGTAGGAAATTTTCTAATCTAATGTTAAATGAGAGATGTAAAGTCCATAAAAAATATAAAGAAATTTAATTCGTACAAAATTTTTAAATTATTATTTTAGATGCTCGCTATCATAAAGGTAAAATATGAGATTAATGTCATATTGCAGGTTGTACATTTTCGATATATCAAATTTGTCTTAAAAGAAATTGAATATGTAAATCATAGAATTAAAAATCATATGAACGAAAGAAAAACAATACTTCAAACACATTGTTTGTGATTGAAAATAACCTCTTAAACCAAAAGAAAACTTTTACCAAATATTAAAAGTTAGAGGATAAAGTGTTACAAAAATAAGTTAGAGCAGCATCTATTAAAAAAATTCCACATAAAATAATTTATTCTTGTGAAGAAAAATCAATAAAATAAGCTCAGTTAATAAACGAGAGTAGGGTGAGAGTATGTATTCATTGTTGTACCATCTTTAAAAGCGAATGGTTTATACAAAGTGAAATCAATAAAAGTTCCCCAATAAAAAAAATTGATTTAGCTTGATAAACAAAGATTAAAAAAAGACGTAGAAAACCTTCTAAACAAAACCATATATTAAAAAAGACATTTACCTGAATAATCTTTTTACAAACTTATTTTTTTTTATTAAAAAGCCGTCGTTTAATTCATATAACTTGCGCTATTTATTGCAGAACGATGAAATAAGCTATATGAATGAATTAATGTTGCATTGTTTGACAAATTTAGAAGAGAGGACAAGTTTAAATCTCCACGTCGCTATGTAATAAAAAAAAAATTAATGATCTTACCAATCGTGTCTTAAATATATTTGTTAAAAAATATTTAATATTCTTTATTAAATATTTTACTTTTTCAATTAATAATCTTTATTTTTAATTCCTTAGCTAACAATCCCTTAAGCCCTTAAGAACATTCTCAGGCAAATTTCCTAAAAAAGTAAATCTACAAAATACATAAAAGTCAAAACAAAATAAGATAAATTATAAACAATATTAAATAATAATAAAAAAGAATTCTTAATATTTTGTTTCAACGTGAGGAAGAAGAAAGAGCAGAGACAGAGAGAGAAACAGAGAATCGATCGGAAAAAACAGAGAGAAGAGAAGAAAAGAAAAGAGAATGGCCACCCAAATGCAAGATCCGCCTTCAAACCCTATCCCTAATCCCAATGCCATGGCGACTACGTCGCCGTTTATCCGCGGTGGTGGGAACGGTGGTTCTGACAATCCGGTCTTCGGTTCCGGTTCCGGTTCCGGCGCCGGGGAGTCCCATTCTCACCATCGAAGGGCACAGTCGGAGGCCAGTTACCGGCTGCCGGATGACATTATGGACCTATCTCCGTCGGATCCGTTCAACGGCGGATCCTCGACGGCGAGCCTGGAGGAGATCGGATCCGAGGACGACCTGTTCTCCACCTACATTGACGTTGAGAAGCTCGGAGCAGTCGGAGGAGGGACGAACGGATCGGGTCGCGGCGGAAACGGATCGGATCAGAGCGGTTACGGTAACGGCGCCGGCACGAGCGGTCAGAACGACGGAGAGAAGAGCTCGAGCGCCACCATGGCGAGGTCGAGGCACAGGCACAGTAGCTCCGTCGACGGTTCAACGTCGACGAGCATGTTTGGAGAGATCATGGAAGCCAAAAAAGCCATGCCTCCCGATAAGCTCGCTGAGCTATGGTCGATTGATCCAAAGCGTGCCAAGAGGTCTATGATCCTCCCTTATATTTTTTTTCTGAATTTATACTTCATTGAAAACGCATCAAGTTTTTGGCTCTTCAATTTTGGTTTCGAAACTGAAAGCAATGGATTAAGGTTGATGTTACGTAAATTCATCAATAGTTGGTTTATAATTTAATAATAATAATAAATATTATTATTATTATTATTATTACTACTCTCTGAGTCCTTACAATTGCATTGCTTCGAGTCTTCGTGAATCATGAATGTTACAAATTGGTTATTTATTTGTTTGCTTTCATATGTTCTGTGATTATTTAATTACCTATTAACAATGAAAATTGAGCGTTACCTTTTAAATGTGATTAGTTGATGTATGACTTTTTTAGTTGACCTTATCTGATCTCAAACTATTGCTTTCGCAGAATCTTCATATGGGAATCTTAGGTTTGGCTTTGATATTTGATAGTTGCTGTGTTTTTCATGACTTGATGCGTGGATAGATTTACATGCGTATCTTTACATTACACAAAGCTAGCTCTGCTGTGTTATATGTATCCTACATTGATCATTCAATTGTATAAGTTGGTTGCTGTGGAAAATTCCTCCTTTATATGATTCTAGTGTTTTGTAGAAGCAAGTTCTCAAACCCTGGCAGTAATTGAAGCATCGGAATGGGATATGAGTTATATGACTGAAAAGGGAAGTGACGTTATAATTGATAACTTACGGTTTCTGATTAGACAGGGAGGAAGGTTTTAGATTGCCGTTGTATTGGGACTACAAAAGTTGCAGACAATTGTAGGAAAATGTGGCTGATGCAGCAGCAATTAAGGCTTTGTTCCGGTTGTGTAGGTCTGGAGACCTCCAAAACCGCAATATAATGCATTCGCCGACCACAATTTAAATTCGTTTGTCATTAAGAATCTTCCTGTTTTTGTCTAGATTATGTTAAATCTAATGACAATATAATAGTTATAAAACGTTAGAACTTAAAATTTCTGAATAGGCAGAGACGTTAAATGTAGATCATTTAAAATGGGGATGGGAAGCAGCAAAAGTGAGGGAGCGTGAGGTTTAGGCGATAGACACTGCTCTTTAATTTCACTTAATAACTGTATTTTAATAGCTGGTGTGGAATTTTTTTTGTTATTCTCACAACTATTGTTGTTATGTATAGAATCCTCGCAAATAGGCAATCTGCTGCACGTTCAAAAGAGAGAAAGGCCCGCTATATACAAGAACTTGAGCGCAAAGTTCAGACCCTTCAGACTGAAGCCACAACTCTCTCTGCCCAACTGACACTGTACCAGGTTGGTGTTGACTTATGCAAGAATTTAGTTGAACTAGGTCTTAATATGCCACTGCAGTTTCTTATTCCCTTTCTGCTGCTTATGATTATTGTTTGACTATTCTTATAATCTTACATCGTTGCTTGCAAGTGTTTCTTCTTCAACCTTGTGTTAGCATATCTTCTCAGTTCTCACCACCTGCTCAAACTTAGTTTTAATGACAAAAATATCGCATTTAGATAAGTAGATGCACTCTTTTTGTATTTCTCTTCAGAAATTCCTTTTTTTTTTCCTATACAAATCAAATCTATATATTTCTTGATCATAATATTGAGTATTTTTCTTTTTGTGAATTATTATTGAGTAATTTAATTGTACAAAGGTAATTCCTGGTACACAGGTTGACTTTTCATTAAACTTCACCATTAGTTGACTTCAGCTATTATGCGTAAACTTGTGGTTGAATAGGAATATGATTGATCACTTCTTGATTTTTTATAGAGGGACACAACTGGTCTGAATACAGAAAATACTGAGCTTAAGCTCCGTCTCCAAGCCATGGAGCAACAGGCACAGCTTCGCGATGGTAACTATTATTAAGTCGATCACTTTTTTTTGATACAATAACATACTTTACATTTTTCGAAATGATAGTTTTTATAATTATTTTTTTAAGGTTAATTAATTGTATTGGAATCTGTTTCTGATCTGATGTAGCTCTTAATGATGCATTGATGAAGGAAGTTGAGAGGCTTAAGATTGCTACTGGGGACATAATGAACCACTCCGAGTCTTTTAATCTGGGAATGCACCAGATGCCATTTGCAGGGTCAAATTTCTTTCCAATCCCACCACATTCAGGTCCTTCTGGTCACCAAAACATACAGTTGCCTCCATTTAGTCACTCCCCATCTAGCATGCCAACTCATCAGCTGCAACAAACAAATACTCTCCAAATGTCAGATATATTGCAGAATGACCAGCTTGGTCGTTTGCAGGGACTTGACATTAGTAGCAAAGGATCAACCCTCGTGAAGTCTGAAGGTCCCTCAATATCTGCTAGTGAGAGCAGCACCACATTTTGAATTTGACCGAAACTGCTTGACCTGCTGACTTATCCAGTGCATTCCCTTCTCTTCAATTGTTTTTAGTGTTGACATGTAGTCATCTAGTGAAGGTAATCTGCTTCACTAAATATTCCATTCACATTAAGGATTAATTCTTAATTGTTTATTCTTAGGGATGCTCCCCAAAAAGGTGAAGCACCCTTGGTGTTTTGTTGCAAAAGTTCACCCAATCATATGTCGAAGCATGGCATTTTGATATTTGTGGATTTTAGAATATTGGGAATGAAAGGTCATTCTCATGGTGTCTTTGTAATGTATCTTGGGACTTGGGATGTTTATCGATCCCTCTCCTGTCGTTTGTATCATCATTTACATGATAGCATGTAAACTGTGATTTGTTGTTGTGTTCCATTTCAAGGATATGTAAAATAAATTATCAAAGAAAAGAAAAGGATGTGTAAGATGGACTTAGTTCCTTCGATAATGTCTTATTATAGTTTAATTTATTCATGGTAGTTGTACTATTAGAATGTTGGAGACTCAATGTATTATGCTTCTTCTCAGATCAGATATTTATGTAGTTTGATTTATTCATTGTAGTTGTACAAAAGAGTTTTGAAGACTTCTTGTATTATGCTTCTTAGATCAGATATTTATGAATACTTAGCATATAGCTAACTGATTGCATCTGGATTTTTTTAACTCTAATGGAGGACTGCGTCAATCATCATTTTGGAGATAAGGTTCCGAAATACCTCGTCCATGTATTTCGATTTTGGCTTTGCTAACAGCAGCTGTCCTTTGTCGCCTGTTTTGGAGATAAGGACTCCCCTCTTCGGTTCTCTCTCTGCCTTGCCTTTTAAGTTTTAACTTTTTTTTGTTTTTAAGATTTTTCCACAGGCTAAACAATTACTCCATCAATCCAATCGAGTTAGGACTAGTAAAATTCTGTCTATTAAAATTTTAATACAATTGCTTATACAAAACTTAAAATCGAGATTACTGATTAAACTATGTTTGTGTAATTTATTTTTTTTAGTACGTCCAGTTTTAACTCTCATTTCTTCTTTGGTTTTTTTGTCTTATAATACATTAATAGTCAAAAAAAGATAGGGCAGATTTGTGTCTTTAGCAGCTGTCTTATCTCTAGAGGTAATGTGGTTCGTTATTGTGGGCCAAACTCCATTATAACCAGTGTCGAGAAGGGAAAGCGAAGCGCATGGGACGATAACGTTGTCTGCATACCATTAGTTATTGCTAAAAAAAAAGTTGGACAAGTTTTTTTTTTTTTTCTTTTGACAAAGGTTTAAAAAGATAGAAAACTTTTTTATTCCAAGACTAATTTATAATTAAATTAAAGATCACTGGTCAATCGTCAATGGTATATTTTAAATCGATTAGCCCGACATTAAGTAGGAAAAGTTGAAATCAAGTAGTCATTTTGGAATTTAAAGTGTATGAAAGCACACAAGCATTCATTGGGGTGAAAAGTTTAAGAATTGGAAAATTTGTCCCATTCTCAGGTTTGTGTACGCTATAAATCACAATGATCGTGATATTATCAATGAAAAATTGAGACAAAAATTAAACCTTAGTTTAACTTTTTTGAGTCTCTTCAATCGGTTCATTTTAAATATTAGTCCGGTTCAAGAACTATCAGATCCAAAGTAGAGACCGCTCTCACAAAATCATTTTTTTCATTCCCAAGACTCGAACTTGAGACTTGTAGTTAAGGAATACAAGCTCCTTACCACTTGTGCCAATGATATTTGTTTCATTAGTTTATTAGATTGGACTCGTGCCAATTATATTTGGTTCATTAGTTTATTAGATTGGACACCAATAATGTACATATGTATGCCAATAGATAGAAAGAAAAACCATCATATAATGCGCTAATCCCGCGAGGATGTGAGATTGTTATTTTGTTTGATTAGGCTATTGAAAGAAGTCTACCACGCACAATGTGGACTCTGCTAGAGTAGAACCAAAGTGTTGTAATCCACTAAAAAAAATGATTCGATGATTTTTCTACACGTAACTGTTGAATTCCGCTGGCTTTTCTGATTCTTATTTTTCCATATTTGGAGTTTGGTGCAGACTTTTCGATATTTGTTTCCAATCGCGGAAGTCTTGATGTCTACTAGAAACAAAATACCAATTATCTTATCACTAATATTACAATTAAATTTTCAGCAATGACACCTCCAATTTTACATAATCAACTTCCACGAATTATGTGAATTTTAAGGGGGCCAAAAAAATACTCTCATAATGCAGATGTGACAATATCAATAGTTAATTTGAGATATTAGATGATGTTTTTCCAGCTACTGCAAACACAGAATGGCCCATGAGCAGAAAAGAAAAAAAAAATAGTCTTACTTATTTTTATGTATCAAATATTTTCTATGAATGAGAATATTACGCATTCTGTATATTTTTTATCAAGTGTGGTGAAAGATAATTCATTTACACCATTTCTATCTTTATAATTATTTATTTTCATTTTTTTTTCTTTTTTGTAAGGGAATATCTATTTCGTTTTACAAAAAATATGTTCCTCCTTTGTGATGAATCAACCTATGCTGTTATCGGTTAAAAATAAATAAAAAATGTACACAAGTAGCAATGTTGGATATTATCACACTCACGTAAAGATAAATAAATCTCATCAGTTTTTTTTTCTCTTTTCTTTATAATAAAACCCATATATTTTTATTTGAATGTTATTTATATATTATAAAAGAGGTGATCAACCAAATTATGGTAGTTCAATAATTGATATATGAGAACTGAGTATGTAGAGGTGAAAACATATTTGATCATCCATAGTATTATATTTGGAAGGGTTTAAGTCATTAAATCTAGATTCACGCCGAGCAGAATTGTCTCCATTAAAAGATATTATAGTTTTTCCAAAAAAAAAAATGTGATCAATGCTATTTGTTGATTTTGTTCAGCTACTGTTTTTTTTTTCTTTGAGTTAACCCAAATGATCAACTTATTTCCTGTCGAAGGTTGAAAAGGATTTTCGTATCAAATGGTGGTAGTTTAGTTGATTCATGGAGCTGAGAGTATGTATTTGATCTTTCTCAATATCACTTTTAGGAGTAATTTAAAATGTTAATCTTGTATCCATTCCAAATTAGGCTAATCGCAAAATAATGAATCGATTGAAATCAAATCAGTGTCCACAATTTTGCCAATAATGTTCTATTTTCATTGTTATTGTCAGTGATCTGTTGGCCTCTAAATGGTCAACACTCAGCCATGATGATCCAAGTTGACGAGTCTATGATGTTGCCATGTGTCCAACGTTGTGCCACAACATATTGAGCAAAGTTTCTTTGCTCCAGGAGCAGAAATCATTTTGTGGGAATGTGGTGAGAGAAAGAGATAAAAGATTGAGGAGAGACGAGAGAGAGAGAGAAAAAAAAATTAATTCAGATATCAATTTTTTAGTGGAAGGACCATCCTTCAGCCATATATTTTTTGCGCTATATATATATATATATATATATATATATTTTTTTTTTTTTTTTTCTTTACGTTCTTTTTTTTTTATTGGCTAGCTCCTCATTGAAACAACGAGTGCATTGAGCTCCCCACTTCGAGGACAGAGACACGCCAAGATTTGAATCTCTGACCCAAACAAATCATTAGAATTTCAGTTACCAAACTGAGCTACCCTTGGAATTTACGTTCTTATTTTTTACAATCCATTTTAATGCCACAATGTCATAACGTAACCTTAAGAAAGAAAATAATAAAGGGATATTTTTATTGGCTGATATATTGTTCACCAAATTGGTTGGATCGTTATACCCGATCCGTACACTTTATTCCCTAGTAAGTTTAATATTTCTTTTTTTTAGATATAGAATAATCTTTCCAGCACTGCTAGTGATCAATAGTCTTGATCTCCAGTCATATAGTGCACCCTTTGCTGCTTACTTCACCCTGCACAATCCATAATATTAGTGTGAATATCAAATATTTTCAGTCAGCAAAATAAATAAATAAATAAAAAAAGAAAGAAAAATGGATATGGAGGCTAGGCAGAGAAGAGAAGGATTACTTGGAGCAGTCAGTGGAAGGGTAAACTTTGTAGGGACATTTAGTGCCACATTTGCCAGGAATAGCATTAACACGGTTATAGTCAATCCCAAGGATATAGGCTGCTTTATCCTTAATGCACTGGCATGCACCTCTTCGATCATCTGCATTCTTATATGCTGCATTGAGAGAGTGGATACCTTGGCAACACATGGGTGACACACTCCCTCCCAACACTGCATAGCTGATGCATGGAGTTAGCCAGATAGTGACTTGATCACATGTCAAGTTTGCTTCAGCGTGAGAGCCTGCTATAAGCATGCATATCATCACTGCAGCAACCAATGCCACCTTAGTCACTGCCATTTTTTTTCTTAATATATATGTAAAGAGGGTCTCTTGTGGTAAGTATTTGGTTTTGTAGATAATGGGGTATATATAGATTGGAGAACAGGGGTGGTGTGGTGCCTTAAGAGAATCTTACAAGTACACGGTGGCTGCGACAAATTTATAGATAGAGCCAAAGATTTTTTATCATTTGCATGTGATAATTCTTAGTGAGAAAATTCAAAGAACGTTTCATGAAACTTCAAAGAGGTAGAAGTTGCGTATATTGATTAAAGAACTAAAAGCATAGGTATTATTAGGCTTACGGGTTGCACAACAGCCAAATTATATTATGGTAACGTTTCCGCCTCATATCCGTAGCCGCCTCAATAGTTGGGAAGAATTAACTAGAAATAAAATTTACTTTTTATGAATGGCTTAAAATGTTTCTCCGTTAGTTTTTGACATCAAGAAAAAAGGATTTAAGATAAGACACTTTATTTCGAAAAATTTAAGATTACAAATATTTGCATTTGAGAAGTTATCTATCCGATTTCAGTCCAAATGCACAAATTCACACCGGTTAACTGTTTCATCTACGGAATCACACGCGCTCATGTTCAAAAACTGAGTTAATGAAAACTTGACTGCTTTTGGATTAATCACCCAACTTGTTATACAGCAGAACAAAAATCAGATTAAAGAGATCGACGATAGGATTCAACTATACAAAGTCACAAAAATAGAAGAAATTAAATTGACACACTGAAAATTCGAAAACTCGAGTTGACGCTGGAGATTAGTAACACCCAATCTATGACTTGAAGAAGAAGGACAAGAATTATTAGATTAAAAATTTACACGGCTACCATACCCTTAATCCTACCAAGAAATAATTGCATATACAGATCAAACAAAAAATAGCATCACATAAATTCATTTGTATATAGTACAATTCATATCTCAAAGTTGGCATGATTGCTTTTCGTCTCCAGCATCCCGTAATCGTGAACGATGATGACCTGAAATTTAGACCGCAAGTTAGACGTAAGCTACAGTACATCCTCTCTATCATTAGTCAAATGATATGCAATTTGGCAGCAAGTTTTAAACAACGATACCAGGTTCTATTAAACTATATAATGCACTTATTTGTACGGGAATGTTTTACATTAGTAGCTGCAAACATGAATGCAAGTAAAACTATCAATACCAACCTCAACTTGCCACGTTAATTGCATGCACAACAATCTGTTCTCAACCCGTCATTAGTGTCTTCTGTTTTTAGGGCAGACGGACATTCTATAAGGCTCAACATGGAATGGTAAAGTGGCCAGTATGCCACATTAGATTTTTCAGCCAGATAAAAAAAAAAATGGTACCATGATACTGAATTTTTCCATCCGATTTCTTTATTCTTAACTCAGTAGCAAGAAAATTAAAATCGTCTTGAGCTTTTAAGATGCAGGGGTTCATTAAGTTGGATATCACGACAAGAAACCCTAATTTTTTACTGAATTATCATAAACTAGTATAAAAAGGAATCACGTAACAGCCATAAAACTTCAGATATGCATGCTATATGCATCACCGAAAACTGCACTTGAAATGGGATGGACTAACCTTCAGATGAGCCTTTGAAAACCAGGATGTAGGGATGAATCCAGAAGTGTTTGAGTGGGCCTTTGCAAGGGCTTTGGACACCAGTTGTTGGTCCTCACTCCTCACTCACTGCACTAGTTGGATCACCTTTTAACAAAACTCGATTGCATCGAACCTGCTATCAAAATTGCCATTTGCCATTATCTGGAGCATGACAAATTTTTGCAGATAGGAATATAACGTAATGCTGTCTATCCCATAGGCCAACTTAAGCCTCCAACTGACTATGAAGTATGAACCAGGGAGGAGAAAGGCAAGGAAAGAACAAAAAAGCTTTCAACACACTCGGTCATCCAAGATCACAAAAGTACAAGACATCAGTTAGAAATAGGTCATACCAACTACTGATATTCTACTTTTATCATAGTTGACAAGCCTTGTATGATACAACTTATAATTTAATGGTGCCATGGTGGTAAGGCACTGTTAAATTCGTGCAAAACACTATCAGAGGCTCATGGCATTGCTGCTTGGTGATCAAGGTGCCATGACAGCTGCTATGCCATGAGTCCATGACAGTATGGCATGATGGCAGCAGCACGCTTGAAATGATGGACAGTTTACTCTTTTTTCAGGGTATTTTGAAGTTTTTGCCTAAAAAGTGTTTCAAAAAATCTAAACCATAGTCCTAACACATTTGATGTGTGTGTCCCTGTGAAACTGAACAAAGCCCTCCTCCCTTCTTAAAACAGAAAGAATCAAGCAAGAAGTGAAATTGCAAGTGTTAATACAAACATTAACCCTATTAACCAAGGAAATACAATTTCAAAAGTCTATGCAAGGAAAAATACCTCCCTAAGATATATACATAGAATGTTCAAACAGCTCCTCTGTGTCACCTTATCATGTTTCTCCATTTGTCCTTCAGATCAACCTTCAAAGAAAAAAGATCGAGTTAAACTAAAGGCATAAGTCCAAAAAGAAACAAGGTAAAGCATTTTGGTGCATAGATTGCATACTCCACTTCTATTTTCAAAAATGTTACTGTAGAAGTTTCGAATTGTCGCCCAGTTTCCTTCTCCAAACCTGATAAATGAGAACATGAAATCATAATGTATTCACCAGTCACCAGGACATTTATGGTTTGATTAGTTTAGGACAAGCACATACATTTTTACACCAGCCCTTAGTGTCTCCTCTTCCAATGAAGACCATTTCCTTTTCCTCCTTCTTGGCTGTCTTCCTTGTGGCAAATTATCTATAGAATCATCCCACTGCAAAGACAAGGAAATATCTAACATGCCAATGCAAAAACATATAGACGTACAAATTGAGTACCCAGAACAAGAGAGAAGAATCCATTAAAAAATGGAGACTCTTAACCATCTGATTGCAGAAAATCAACAAAGTCTTTGTTGATCCACATCTGCAGAACCCACAGGCCACTGTATCAGGCGATGGCATGGTTTTATATTGTCACAAAAATCGTGGTTTTGGCAGTTTCTGCAACTGCATGACGACCACATCGACCACAATTTCCCGTAATTGTCCACAATTTCTGTAACCACAACCACAATTTAAAACCATGGGTGGTGGTAATCCTTCTCGAAGAAGAACTTCCTCCACAAAACAGCAAGCATTTTCCCATGAATGAACTCATCTTGAACAAGATACCACCGTTTAGATCAAAACCTGGTCCCTTGCTAACAGTTAAAAAATTAAATGGAATTGGCCCCCAGGTTAAAACAGATAATTAAAAACATGATTACCTCATAAGTACGGGCAGTACTAGTCCGTTTCATTATGTTGGGACGATTAACATTACCACAATGAACAGAAGACTTCTTGGCAAGATTGGCATTATCAGGTTGAAAAGGTACAATACTCTTGCAAACATCTGAATCTGGTACATCTATGTCTCCGCGCAGGTTTTCAATAGGAGGAACATCTTTTGTTGCCAATTTGGATCTTACAATTTCAGACGTATGCATTGCATCAGGAAGAGGATCCTTGACCAATGCTCGTAGCTCCAAAGAACTTGATTTAAGGGATTCCCGAACTTTTTCAACTTCAGGACTAGGCACCCACGATTTTAATGGCTCCACTTCCTCAGCACCAGATATTTTAACACCCCTACGGCATGCACGAAGTGCAGAGTGCTTGCGTTTAAGCTGAAGATTGCATTTGTGAATTCCTACTGGGGACACATGGAAAAAAGAATGTTGAAGAAAGAATCATTGGAATAGCTTAGAGAATTCTCTGAAGCTATGTTGTATTTATAATGAATTACAATCAGCAATAATGTACAAACAATAATGAAAAGCATGGAGACCTATACTAGAGTGAAATGGAAACCCATGCTGGAATGAAAACCCATTCCTCAATTATACAAACAAACAAATAACAGATAAAGGAGGAGTAGGTATTCTGACACTCCCCCTCAAGCTGGAGCATATATATCATATGCACCAAGCTTGTCACAGATAAATTGTATTCTTGGTCCCCTCAGTGACTTAGTAAGAATATCAGCAAGCTGATAGCTTGAGTTAACAAATTCAATGAGGATTTCTTTAGAAAGGACTTTCTCTCTGATAAAATAGCAGTCAATCTCAATGTGTTTGGTCCTTTCATGGAAGACGGGATTTGATGCAATATGCAATGCAGCTTGATTATCACAGTAGAGTCTCATCTGATTAGTATCTCCAAACTTCAAATCTTGAAGTAATTGTTTTACCCATATGAGTTCACATGTAACATTTGCCATTGCACGATATTCATCTTCTGCACTGGATCTTGCAACCACATTTTGTTTCTTACTTTTCCAAGATACTAGATTACCACCAATAAATACACAAAATCCTGAAGTTGATCTTCTGTCACTGGGTGATCCAGCCCAATCAGCATCAGAGTATCCCATAACCTTAGCATGACCTTTATTTTCATTCAACAATCCTTTTCCTGGAGCATTCTTAATATATCGTAAGATTCGAACCACAGCATCCCAATGCTCAATACACGGAGCATGCATAAATTGACTTACTACGCTTACCGGGAAGGAGATGTCTGGTCTGGTTAAGGTAAGGTAGTTTAGTTTACCAACTAACCTTCTATATCTGTCAGGATCTGAATACAGTTCTCCTTGATTTGATAATAACTTGTGATTTGGATCCATTGGAGTGTCAACAGGCTTGCAATCTGTTAAACCAGTTTCTTCCAAAATGTCTAGAGCATATTTTCGTTGTGAAAGCACAATGCCACTTTGTGATTGAGCTACCTCAAGACCGAGAAAGTATTTGAGTTGTCCTAAATCTTTTGTTTGAAAATGTTGAAACAAGTGCTCCTTCAACTGCAAAATACCCTCATTATCATCACCTGTAATCACTATATCATCAACATAAACCACCAGATAAATACATCGACCAAAGGGAGTGTGACGATAGAAAACTGAATGATCAGCTTCACTCCTAGATAACCCAAATTTCTGTACAACTGTGCTGAACTTGCCAAACCAATTTCGAGGAGATTGTTTCAACCCATAAAGAGACCGTTTTAACTTACAAACTAGTCCAAACTCCCCCTGAGCAACAAAACCAGGTGGTTGCTCCATATAAATCTCCTCATCTAGATCACCATGAAGGAAGGCATTCTTTATGTCTAGCTGATATAAAGGCCATTGCCCAATAGCGGCGATGGCTAGGAATAGACGAACAGATGCCATTTTGGCCACGGGAGAGAATGTCTCACTATAATCAAGACCATAAGTCTGAGTGTATCCCTTAGCAACAAGACGGGCTTTAAGTCGATCAATACTGCCATCAGAGCCTACCTTAACTGCATATACCCAACGACATCCAACAACCTTTTTGTCTCGGGGAAGTTGAACTAAGTCCCATGTATCACTGTGCTCAAGGGCAGTCATCTCATCAATCATAGCTTGCCTCCAACCAGAGTGGGAAAGAGCCTCGTTAACAGTGTTAGGAACCTGAACAGAGGATACAAATGCATAATATGACGGAGACAAACGGTGAAAACTCAAGAAGTTATAAATAGGATGAGGATTACGGGTGGTACGACTACCTCTACGAATAGCAATAAGAGAAGAACTGACAGACTTACCGGGAGTTGATGCCGATGTAGTAGAGGAAGGTAGGTCCATAGTAGGAAAAGCCGTTGGGATAGGACATGATGTATAAGGATCCTCAGTGACTACCTCGGTTGTAAGAATGGCTACCTTGGAACGTCGCTGGTAAGTGATGATTGGTTGTTGGGGAGGATCAAGCTGGTCATGATCTGGTAGAGAAACGATGGGTTCCTCATGATCAGGCTGAATATCTGTAGGTACCTGTAAAGAAGACAAAGGGAGACCACCAAAGTATGGTACCGGTAAAGCTTCAGAGATTACTATAGGATCAGTGGTTGAAGTGAAGTACGGTGTGTCTTCAAAAAAAGTGACACTGGTAGAGATATAGTGACGATGAGTGATAGGAGAATAATACCGGTACCCTTTTTGCAATCGAGAATAACCAAGAAAGACACATTTGATAGCACGAGGGGACAACTTGTCGCGCCCGGGAGATAGATCATGGACAAAACAAGTACAACCAAATACTCGAGGAGGAACTGTATACAAAGGAATTTGCGGGTCTAACACCTGAATAGGGACTTGATGATTGATAGCAGAGGAAGGCATACGATTAATCAAATAGCATGCGGTTAAGACAGCATCCCCCCAAAATTGCAATGGCATATGAGCATCCAACAACAATGTACGAGTAGTTTCAATAAGGTGACGATTTTTTCTTTCGGCTACGCCATTTTGTTGGGGGGTATGCGGACATGATGATTGATGCAAAATCCCATGAGATGACATGAACAATGAGAAGTCAGCAGAGAAATATTCTTTGGCATTATCACTACGTAAAACTTTGATTGTTTTGCTAAATTGATTATGAATCTCACTGCAGAAGGATTGAAATATGGGAAAGACTTCTGAATGTTCCTTCATTAAAAATAACCAAGTACATCGAGAAAAATCATCAATGAAAGTCACAAAATATTTAAACCCAGTTGGTGTAGAAACACGACTAGGACCCCAAACATCAGACTGAATAACAGAAAAACTAGATGTTGTTTAACTGTTGACCTTACTAGGAAAGGAAGAACGAACATGCTTGCCAAGTTGACATGACTCACAACTGAAAGACATTAGATTTTCAAGACCTGGGACCATTTTTTTAAGTTTTAATAAACTGGGATGACCAAGACGGTGATGGATAAGACTAGGAGATTCCACAGTAGCACATGCCCTATGAGAGGTTGATTGGAGGTAATAAAGTCCTTGTGATTCATGTCCTATGCCAATCGTCTTTCCCGTACCACGGTCCTGGATAACAAAAGAATCAGAATAAAAAGTTACGGAACACTTCAGAGATCTTGTAAGCTGACTCAAGGAAATTAAATTAAATGGACAACCAGGTATAAATAAAGTAGAATTTAATGACATGGATGCATTGGGTGAGACAACACCAATACCTCGGACAGATACTTTGAAACCATCAACTAAAGTTACAAAACGAGGACAAGCAGGTGAAGAAAGAGAAAAGAAGAGAGACTGATTACCAGCTACATGGTCAGAGGCACCTGAATCAAGGATCCAAGGTGTGGAATTATTACCCGTATGAGAAATACAAACTGTAGGATTACCTGAATGAGCAACAGTGGTAGTAGAAGATTGAGTTGGCTTTGCTGCTTTCAACTGAAGAAATTCCTGAAACTCCTTTTCTGTAAGAGAAAATGACTGTTCACCAGTGTTAAATCTCGTCCCTTCTTCTACACCAAGTTCAGACTGAGTGAGATTGACAGATTTATCAGGGAAACCATGTAGAGAGTAACATGTCTCCTGAGTATGGCCTGATCGCTTACCGTATGTGCAGTGAAGATTGTTGTTGCGATTACCACGAACACCACGACCTCCCCGAACTCCTCGTCCACCACGACCTCCACGTCCTCCACGAAAGCCAGAGTTAGTGACTAAAGCGGAAGCCGAAGTGTCAACTATGTTGGGACGCGGGTCTGAAGTAGTGGAATTGGGAACCCTCAAGAGGCGAGTGGTAAGATAGTCCATGGTGGGTACTTCGTGACTAGTCAAAAGTTGATCTCGAATGTGATTGAAATCAGGATGCATAGCACGCAATACCAGGACTACATATAGATTTTCCAACTTTCCCAACAAGCCTTGATGGCTGTCAGCCTGTAAAAACATTTTTAGTTCCTCCACTGTTGCCTGTGCCTGAGCAACAAAACTTGTCCTATCATGACTATTTTGGTGAAGAGAAGCCAATTTCTGGGCTGCATCATAGAGTCTTTGAATGTCATTAGCAAATAAGCTGCGAGCTTTATTCCAAAAAGTGACACATGTTTTAAAAGTGCGAAAATTAATTAAAATTGTGGGTTCCGCAGATTGCCAAAACAAGGCACATAACTGATAGTCAAACATTTCCCATTGACTTCGTTCTATTTGAGGAATATCAGAAATTGACTTTTCAAGATGGTTTGAAAGACCTTGACCAAGAAACCACAACTCAACAGAAGAGGACCAAGCTAAATAGTTCTTACTATTTAACTTTTCAGATGTAATTGTTGGTGAACCTGAAAAAGCATAAGCAACTGGAGCATGACGTACCGGATTGGTAACTTCGGATGAAACAGGAACTTTAGGTGAGAGAGGAGTTTTGGGACAAGAAGAATCTTCATCATTTGAAGTCATATTTACTCCAACACAGCTAAAAAACAGACCCAAATCGCACAAAAACAAGGCAGAAACACAGTACTGGAATAGAAGTGGTTTGAACAACAAACAATAATAAGTGGATTTGGACAATACACTATTGAAAAGAACCAGAATGGAGCAACTCAGTACTGGAACAGAAAGAGGAGACTGAGTCGAGCACGGCGAACGGAGATGAGCAGTGGAAGGCGGCGCGTGGCCTTCACGCGCACGGAACTGGGCTGCGCGTGGGCTTCTCGCGCTTGGACTGTGGCGGCGTGTGGCGGCGCGTGAGGAAGTTTCTGCCGGTGGGGAGCTCCAGATCGGGTCGTCGGAATTTTCTGGGTTGACTGGGAGTGTTTCCATCTTGATTCACAGTGGTTTTGAGGTATGTTGGTGAACCTGGGAGTATTTAAGCTTTTGAATGGACTAAATGAACCTTGCACTTGATACCATGAAGAAAGAATCATTGGAATAGCTTAGAGAATTCTCTGAAGCTATGTTGTATTTATAATGAATTACAATCAGCAATAATGTACAAACAATAATGAAAAGCATGGAGACCTATACTAGAGTGAAATGGAAAATGAAAACCCATTCCTCAATTATACAAACAAACAAATAACAGATAAAGGAGGAGTAGGTATTCTGACAAATGTAAATAACAATAAAATAGGTGTAGGCATAGCAATTCTTGAACTGTGTTGTAACTTGTATCATTGAAGCTTCCTCTGAATAATGAAAGACCTATTCATTTTAAAAACCATAGAAGTATTTGTCTAAAGCTTAAACTGATTTTCATTGACAAGAATCCTGTAGAGGGTGGGTAGTAAAAAAAAAAGCTAACTACTTACATCCAATTGGCAGTAACAACAGTGGCAAAGGTAACATACAAACAAAATAAGGAAACACTTTTTGCGCCAATTCACTGTTAATACTTAATAAGCCAAACAATCAAATTCCAAATTTCCTCTCTTCCACAGAGAGATAGAGATAGAGAGGGACTAAAGTATAATTTCTAGGGTAATACACAAAAAAATAAAATAATAATAATATCCTTATTTAGATAATGAATAATGAATAAATAGCATATATATTCCAAAAATGCTTGCAAGCACAAACACAGAAACCTTGATAAAACACGCAAGAGATACTCCACAGTTAATTTCATCAACAAATTAAGCCATACTACTCTCAGCTCACAGTTACTATTGTGTGTAGTCCTTGAACACAAACATAACTTGCTAGTAACAAATACAATTCAAAGCATAAGAAACTTGACACCGAAATTTAGAAAGCAACACCCAAGTTATTTATTTATTTTTTTGAAAAAAAAAAAAAAGAGACCTTTATTTCCCTGTGTTGGAAAATCAAGCCCTTTATTTCCCTGTGTTGGTAAATCAAGCCCACCCACTTCCTGATTTGTATCAACAGAAGCTCCAACTCTCTCTTCCAATTGTTCCTTGCCCTGAACTTCACCCGTCACTGCCACATTCTGCATGCAGCATGCATCGTCATCATCATTATCATTATCAGAATCACTCCTATCACCACCAACAGAGTCCCTTCTCTCCTTCGCTGAACCCTCCATCCCTCCATCACGCTTCCCCATCGATTCATCACCCAAAGCATATTCACAAACACCTTCAGGGCGCAAACCATTCGCCTTCGACAACGTCGCCACGGAATCGAGAAACGAAGGACCCATGATTTCCCACGCTTCATTCAGATACACCTTCACCTTCTTCAGCGCGTCCCTTCTGCTATTCAAACTCGCCAACCTCTCAGAAACCCCATGATCCCAAAGCGCAGCCTCAATGTCATCCCTCCACCGGGTCAACTCGCCGGAGAACAACCCACTCCGGCGACCCTCCGCCGTCATCTCCGTCACCCGGCCCCGCCAGATCCTCCGGACGGCGCCGAAGTACTCGCCGGCGGATTCGTCGGGGGACGCGGCGAGGTACTTGACTGTGCACTCGACGGCGACAGCGCAGTAGGCTTGGCGCATGGCGTCGGTGACGGGAACAGCGTCGTTCCGGTCGAGGTCCTCGAGAACCTCGAAAATTTCGAGTGCGGTTTCGGTGAGAGAGGCTTTGAGGAGGTGAGATTGGAGAGTGCGGAGGAGGAGGGTTTTCTTGAGGCGGTTATCGGCGCCGGAGAGAGGAAGGACGGTGAGGGTTTTGTGGATCAGGGAATCGGGAACGGAACTCCGGAGAAGAAATTCGAGGACCCACCGTGAAATGTCCGGATCCATTTTTAGGATTTCAATTTTGGGAATTTTTGTGATGAAATTGAGATTTGGGGAGAAGAACCGGGAAAAAGATTAACGGGGCGTTTGGTAGGAGAAATGTTTTGAATATTAGTGAAATGAAATTAAGAAGCAAATGATTTGAAAGTGAGTTTGGTAGGAAAATATAAAAAAGTTGTTTGGTTGAAAAAAAATTTATCGAGAAAATTTGATAACTTGATGGTATTTTGGTCTGGGTCAACTTTCACCTTCTGTCATTTACCCATCTAACTAAGAAAAACCACGTCGAAGAAAGCTTTTTAAATAGTGGTAATTGCTCCATTTCAAAGGCCAAATCTGAATAGCTATGCAATATAAATAGACGGGGAAATTTTAAGAAACTCTCTACCAAACAAAGAAATCAACAATTGCTGGCTTGATTTGGATGGGAAAATTTTAAGAAACCTCCCACCAAAGAACACCTAAGGGCATTTTTAATCATGTTCGGTGTTTTTTTTTTAAATTAAAAATCAAAACAAAATAAAAATAAATTGGACATATTTTTTAAGTGAAGGATATACTTACCACCAAAAAAGTTTACCATATTTACAACCAACTTAATCACCATTGATTTCCATCAATCTAACGGTTATAATTTATTGGAAATTATTAGGTCCCATTTATTAATTAATTATTAATTTTCAATAAATACAATAAATTATAACCGTTAGATTGACGGAAATCAATGGTGATTAGGTTGATTGTAAAGGTGGTAAACTTTTTTGGTAGTAAGTATATTTTGCCCTTATTTTTAAGGGAAAAACATCTATTCTTTTAAACAATATAATCTTATATCATTTTAGATTCTATAGAACATTGATTTCCGTCCATCGATGGTTATAATATATTGGATCAAATTTAATGGGCCAAATTTATTATTAATTAATTAATAATTTTGATCCAATAATGTTTGAATACTAATTTTAAAATAATTTTTTAATTTAAAAAAAAAACTTATTTAATAAGATATGTTTTTATAAAAATAATTCTAAAAATTGTAATTTTTTTATTTTTATAATCAAATTTAAAAAAAACTGGGAAAAACATCTGTCATTTTAAAGTGTATAAGCTTATATTCTTTTAGATCCTAACCAATGATTTTCGTTCATCAACGATTAAGATTTATTGCGAATTAATAATTAATTAATAAATTTTATTTGTGAAAATCTTAACCGTTGATTGATGGAAATCAACGGTTAAGATATTAGTTGTAAGAGGTTGTAAAGAAAAATAGGTTCTAAGTATAACCTTCCCATTTTTTCTTATATTTGGAGTGTAAGAAAAATTCAATTAGATTAATTAGGAAAAAATATTTATTCTTTTAAAGAAAATTCATCTTAATTAAAATTATTAAATTTTATTTAATATTTAAATTTAAAAAAAACTTCTCATTTTTCTTACCATAATTTTTATTGTGTGACTCTCACTATAAAATACAATAATATGACATAATTTTATATTTTTTAAAGGAAAAAATGTTTCTGCAGTTAATGCAGATAAGTTATCTGCATTTATTCGCAAAACGACGTCGTTTTGGTATTGAAATATTAAAAAATTAGAAATATAAAGACTATTATAGCCCTGAAATAAATTAAAATTACAAAAACACCATGATTTTTGCCCCAAAACGACGTCGTATTGGCTTGCTGCAGATAACTTATCTGCAGAAAAAGCGAACCCTTCTTTAAAAGAATAAACACTTTTTCCAATAAATAAATGTTTAGCTGTAATTCTTATTTTATTATTATTATTATATCATGGAAGTGATATATCTTACCAATATATCTCATGGTTGTATCACAAAATCAATTAAGGAGTTTCCAAAAAAAAAAATCAATTAAGGATTATAAAATGACATCAAATCATTGATTTGATTTTGGTTCAAATTATAAATGTGATTATAAGAAATTGTAAGATAAAAGGGATTGTAATTATAATATATTCTTAATTAATTAGAAATGTTAAGTTTATAGGCTAATATGCTTTTTAATTACTAATAAAATATAGTGAAGTAGTTCAAAGAAAATGGCCTTGAAGGTCGTAGGCATGTGAGGATGAAAATAAAACTTTTCAAGAGCGGAAACACACATGCAAATTAAGATATGTACTTTAGGACGTAATGATACCTTTGTTCGTGATTCAAAACTCCAAAGTGATCAGTGTAAGGTTTGAAGGTTCAAACCCTCTAATGTTGATCCACACCACCCTACGTCAAGATGCAAGAACACTTCTTAAAAGCCACCAATCGAACACCACAAGGAAGGCTAGCTAGGCGTCCAATAGGAGAGAAAGAGGCCTAGGTTTCAAGGTGTTTAGTTGAGTGAATTTTCAGCATGAAGACTCACAAAGTGGCGCATGAAGTTCTATGAGAAGAGGCTAGGTAATTTTCAAAAAACCCTTAAGAGAACCTAACAAAAGGATGCACTTTTGGAGATGAGAGAATGATTGAATTGAATCATATTTTTCTACCAAAAATCTGACCTATGTAGCGCCCAATGGTGGAGGAATAAGTGGAGTTGTTGCAATTCAAATCTAGCCAACAACCTCCTATCATATCCTCATGAGACTAAGTCTATACCTAGTCAAAAATCTGACTTAATAACCATCATATGGCCAACCATTTGGTGCGCCCTTATTCAGCCCAAAAACAGTCCAAATACATTGAGTAGTTGCAATTCAAATTGAACCAACTCACTCACTTATTCTCTCAACAAGCCAAATCTGATTGGAGCTTATTTGGTTGATCATATGACCATCAAAGGATCACCAAATCAGCGCCCCAATCTTGCTAGAAGATGTCCAAAGATCTTCTCTTGATACTTGGGATTTGATCCATCTAGTTCTCATCTTATCCATTTGTTATGAAACAACCTTTCACAGCCAATTCAAATTCAAATTCAAACGTTCAAACATTTAAATTCAAAATTCAAATTCAAAATTCAAATTCAAAATTTAAATTCAAAATTTAAATATTTGATAATTAATTTAACTAATTAAATTCATTAATAATGTCTTGGACCATCCAAGCCCATTACTACTACCATGCGCCCTTTCCCTCTTAGGTGGGCTTCCAAACTTCTTCTTGGACTAACAACCATTATTAGGCCCAATACCTTTAATGTTATATTCATCAAGACAATAAGGTGTTAGTGTGTGACCCATTAGGCCCAACATAGCCACTGACATAAATGGGCTTGGGCCCAACAAGCCCACAACCCATTTAATGATAACACAGAGCACTAGCAATGCTTTGTTGCCCCAGAGCTAGTTAGGTTAATGACATGATCATCCTATTACATATATTTGGTTACCGTATGTATTTCCTTTCATCTCGGTTACCTTCCCTTTAAACCTAGGGTGAGGAAATGTATCAACCCTTGCGGTTTAGGGTAAGCTTTAATTCGAAATAGGGAATCTTCAATTTACTGACTCTAAAGGCAGATCATCTCATGATCTCTTTTACTATGCATAAATTCTCGAGTCCTGTAAATGTCATCTCGATTTCTCCGGTTTACAGATAACCTAATCCCTTACAGAGATTTGACGAATTCCTTCAGCTTATCACCCTAGGCATGTGCTCTTTCAGGACATGCCCAAAAGTATACCTATGAGTCTCCATGTTTCAGGCAGACGAGGTATACAATTAAAACATGCCTTCTAGAACACACTACAGTCTAGGTGACAACTTATGGTCTAAGAAAAAACATACCCAAATATTAAGAGACTGCTCTAATGATACTTTTGTAAGATTTCCTCATAGAGTCTCTTTGTGGGTCTGTTCAATGCGAGCTGTACCCTTATAGGTCCACCCACGACTTTAGCTAAGACATCTCCATATTTGTAGCTCATGAGGTCTTTACCTTGTATCTGAATACAAGTAGATAAGTCGTACTAGTCTTACCCGAGATTATTGATCCTCAGTCTCAGTGTCTCTAAACTAGGAACATAAAATTAGGAATAAACATCTGGTATCCTTAAATCCTCATGATCGTGATCTCATCACAGATACTCAAGAGATACATATTTTATTCCAAGGGATTTATCCAGTTACTCATATAATATATTAACAATAATATTGAGACAAAATATGAAACAGGATAAAGAGTGCTTATTATTTATTTGCGACAATATAAAAAGGTACATATATGTCCTAATCTAATCAAAAGATTGTCTCTAGGATATCCATATACTAACAGTAGTTACCCATGCATGACATTTTATTATTAGCATTTTAATAGACTTGATAATTTTAAACTATTTGAGTATGGCATTACGTATTTAAATTTATAATTACGATTTTATTTTATTTTTGAAAATAAAAAGCAAACAAGGAAATACAATTCCAAATTTTCAATATCTTTCACTCTATTAAATTTGGGGGAAATGTTTATACTTTTAAAAGATGGTCATTTTAGTTAAAATTAGTGTTTTTATTTAAAATTTAAATTATAAAAAAATCTCTCTCTTTTCCCTTCAATAATTTTCATTGTGTATCTCTTTCTTTCACTTGAAATACAAAATTATATATATTTAAAAGGACAAACATTAATTTGATTAAATTTTCAATATCTATAACATAATTTTAGGTATTAACATTTGTCCTTTTAAATAATATAAAATGGAAAAGGATCCACTTACCACCAAAAAAAATTATCACTTTTACAATTAATTTAATCACCGTTGACTTCCGTCAACCTAACGGTTATAATTTATTGAAAATTAATAACATTTATTCTGTCATACTTATTAATTAATTATTAATTCCCAATAAATTATAACCGTTAGATTGACAAAAATAAACAGTGATTAAATTGATTGTAAGAGTGGAAAACTTTTTTGGTTGTAAGTATATCCTACCCCATATAAAATTATGTCATTTTTGTCAAAACTATTATGTTTATGGTGAGAGAAACATAAATTATAGTGGGAGAAAATGAGAGTTTTTAATTTAAATATTAAATAAAAAATACTAATTTTAACTAATTTTTTTTTTTGATAACATAACTAATTTTTATATCTATCATTTTTTATTTTATTAATACCTTTTAAATTAATTTTGGTTGTATAATTAAGTATTAATACTTAATTATATATTTTTATTAAATTTTCTTCTTTTTTACCGTTAATTGCTTCTTTGCATATGATGGATAAAAATTTATAATTTTTTATACCATCAATTGCTCCTCGTAAGCAAATTTTATTAATATATATTTAGATACAGATAATGCGCATAAACATAGATTGGTGTAGATATTTAAGAACTCACATTTGGAAATGATATAGTCCTGCAAATTATAGCATTTATTCTCATTCATTATTTTTCCTCGACATTGTTAATTTTATTTGTATGTTCAATTTATTGTTTAAAGTTAATTTATTGTATTTAGTTCTGCATATATAAAAGATACTAACATTGAAATATGATATTCTAGAACTCTCATAATTGGAAACCGAATATCGGGAATAAATTAAAGATATTAACATTAAAATATGATATTCTATAAGGCTCATAATTGGAAACTGAAAATCGTGAATATCATACAGCATTTACGCAGATTCAATATTTTTCCTTTATGTTGTTCAAATATATATATATATATATATATATATATATATATATATATATAATATATATATTTTCCTTTATATTTTTTTTGTATTTTAAATGGTAATTTGAAAATAATTCATTATATTAATTTTTTATTTCAAAGTAAACAATATTGATAAAATTGGAGTTGCGTTACTAAAGATTTAGTTCAAGATAAACTTTATACGTGACAACATATGTACACTATTAGATTTTATTTTATTTTTTGGTAATCTGGACACTATTAGATTTTAAAATAAGGGAATGATCCGTTTACAAATTTTTTTTATAAATTATATTAAGTATGACCGGTTATATATTCTTGATTAGTGTATGACCGGTCAGACATAGTGTAGTTTGTAAACAAAAAATTTGTAAATATAACTTTTCTCTTTAAAATATGTATGTATTTATTATTTTAAATTAATTTTTCGATATAGAATTCATTATAAACTCCAGCATATAATTTTGAATTGATTGTTTAAAGGGGTATGTTTTTCTCATGTTACATAAGATAACATACCCCTCCTACTCATACATTAAAAAGTGTGCTAGCATTTATTTATTTTTTTACTTTTTTTTTAAAAGTGGGTTCCACATGTTTTGTGTCTATGGTATGAGATAGCAAATCTCATGCAACATAAGACTTGTATTTCCCTTGTTTAAAATAACAGGATGGTGGTTGAAACATGTGACCTTATATAAAGTGCTCATTCTCTTAACCAGTGTTATTAAAATCGGACCGACCCGATCGGGTCGACCGAAAACCGGTAAATCGATCATATAACCGGTCTGGTTGAAGCAACGGACCGGCTATGCATCAGAACTGGTCTGACCCGGTCGATTTTAATAAAAACCGGTGACTCGATCGGTTAACCGGTGACCCAGCCCAGTCCCAAAAAAAAAAATCACAATGGACATATTTGAATATTTTTTTGCTTATTGACTTACATAAGTTATGTACCTACAACACTAATATCATCTCAATTATGTACTATGCAGAAAATTTTGAATTAATTTATAGTTAGAGATTTAATTTTCTAAACCTAAAGTCCCGTATCACGATCATTATATTTTTGTTTGATCTTTTATTGGATAATAATATGTGATTTATTATTTTTATATTAAAATATTTGAAATTTCTATCATTTTTTTAGATGTTTGAGTATGTTTATAATTTTTTAATATAAATTATAAAATTGCATATAATTATCGGGTCATGCGGTTGAACTAGTGACCCACTGGTTGAATCAGTGACCCACTGATTGAATCAGTGACCCAGTGCATTGACCGAGTCAATGACCAAACCGATTTTAATAACATTGCTCTTAACTACTAGTTCAACAATTGCAATCGGTAATCACAATAACTTCATCATGATTCTCCATATGCTTTTAGATTTTTTAACAATTGAATTTAAAAAGTTATTCTACATAAGTTGTGGATATTACAAATTCAATTTATAGAATTTTCAATATTAGAACTCCTTCCGAAAAAATTATTTGAAATGTTTTTTAATTTTTTTTTTCTTTGATGTCAAAAGTGGTCTTAGATACTTAAACTTTGTTACTAGAGTAAATATTATATCAGGTAAACTAGTTAGATAACATAGTCAATGACTACGAGATCACGAATTCAATCATTATCACTTCCATTTTTTAGAGGAGCATAAGGGAGAACTAAAAAAATGGGCTTTCAAGCCCAAATACACTCTTGCATGAGAAAATGCATGTATTAGACTATTAGAAAAAAGTTTATTTGTGACGAAAAATTTTGCCACAAATTGTTAATTTTTGACACAAATAATCAAATTTCGTCACAAATAAATTGCGACGCAGGAATTTGTGACGAAATTTCATAAAATTTTGTTACTAATAAGATTTTTTCTTATAGTATATAATATGAAATTATTGAAGGCTCATTGCTTATAACCTTAAGCTTTTAGTTGAGATAGTTGTTTATTATGGTATCAGAGCCAAGGTGACCAACAAGTTTAAGCTATTGAGTTGAATTTTTTGCTTATCAAATTCAAACATTCATATGTTCATTATAATAAAAAAATTATAAAATTTTATTATTATCAAATGATCATATTATTAATATTTTCTTAGTAATATACTATAAGTATATGGTATTAAGAATCTTCCATATTATTAACAACGGTTCATATTATTTTAGAATCTACCTAGGAATGAATTCAAAAAGAATAAGATTTTTTATACATATTAATCCTCACACACCAACTCCGTCAATTAAATTACTTACATATTGCAAATCTTATAATCAAGAAAATCATAAAAGTGCCTGATTCGCACCTGATTCGCAATATCTTTCATGGATGGAATGATATTTAAAGTGATATTTTATTGTGCAATGCCAGTTGTATGTTACTAACACAAAACATAACACTATCAACAAAGGCTTATCCAAAAATCAAACCATGTATATCTTGCTCTATATAAGAAAAGATTGGTCATGATAAAAAAAAACCCAGTACAAACACCTTCTCTGGTCACCACCATGACTAGAAAAAAGGTGAAACTCGCATTCATAGTCAATGATGCTGCAAGGAAGGCAACATACAAGAAAAGGAAGAAGGGTCTAATGAAGAAGGTGGATGAACTCACCACCCTTTGTGGCATTGAAGCATGTGCTATAGTTTATAGCCCATATGATTCTCAACCAGAGGTTTGGCCATCCCCATGGGGTGTCCAAAAGGCACTAGCCAAGTTCAGGACAATGCCTGAATTGGAGCAGAGCAAGAAGATGGTGAACCAAGAGACTTTCCTGAAACAAAGGATTCTGAAGGCTAAAGAGCAGGTGAAGAAACAAAACAAGGACAACAGGGAAAAGGAGATGACCTTGCTCATGCTTCAGTGCCTTAGTGCAGGGAAGCTTCTGCATGATAATTTGACCATGGTTGATTTGAATGATCTTGCATGGTTGATTGATCAGAACTTGAAGGATGTTGATCGAAGGTTGGAAACAATGAATAAGAATTCTCATATGACTCCAAGCCAAGCCCAAATGATAGCCCCTGTAGCCAAGAATGAATATATGACACCGGTGGATCATGGCCATGGGTTTGATATGAATGTTGACACCATGCAAAAACAGTGGTTTATGGACTTGATCAACAATAATGGGGATGAAACAATGCCATTTGGAGATGTCAATCTCCAAAATGGCTTTTGCCCTAACCCATTGCTTCCTTGAAAAAATCATGTGCTTGTTGGTCCTACTTTAGGGATCTTTCCTAATTCAGTTGCCTATGATTTGGTTTTTATTGTCCTTTTGTGTAGATGTGAAGACACAATCATAAGTCCTTATGGTATAATCTTCACATCTTTATTTCTTATGTTTTAAATAAGTCATCTTGTGGCCTAGTTTTCAAAAGTTTATTTCCTACTTTCAGAATTTAGTTGCTTATTATTGTTTAAGAAAGTTTCACTTTGCATAAGTCTATTAATTGGTGTGGATTGTAATACTTTTGCATTAAGCATTCATCAAGAATGATTATCTCATGTTATAACTATGTCATATGATAAATTAAGCGACCAATGAAATTTTTGTTATAATAAACGTTAGCGCAGTAAGAGAATTTGATGCTTTTTGTGCCTAAAATCTCATCTTTTAAAAATGTGATAACTAGTTGGCTTTCAAAGAGAGACTATCACGTGATTGCTTGCTCAGTTCCTCAATCAAAATTTTCAATTTACTTATCGAAATTTCCAAGAGCTTAAACAAAAGAAATGCTTGCTTACCCACTTCAACTTCAAAGTTCAAAACAAAGAGGATTTCTCACGAGATTGGAGTAATTGTCTTTCTCCCATTTGATGAATTGCTCGCTCCTATTGACCTAGTCATCAATTAATTTAAATATTTCATGATTTTCGTTTTACATACTTTGTCATTAAAATTGTAAAAATTTATATATCATTGAATGATTGAGATTGATTACATAATATGATCACATTAAAATTAGAGATGAAAGAATCCATTTCCCATACTATATAACCCATATAATAAAATTGTTAATACTTATTTTACTCTATGTAATTGATAAATTCTCAATAATTGAATGAGGTTGTGTGATTTAATCTTATATATCATGCCACTAATTATCCATCTAACTGCACCCTATTTTTGCTATAACTACTATATTACACGTGTGTTGCATGGGGAAAAAAGAAATCGATGTATTTGTCTCGTAAAAATTAACGCAAATCGTAAAAGTATATTGCTGCATTTTAGCTTGTCCTGTAGTCATTCAAATCGTAAATCGTAAAAATTACACGTGTGTTGGCGGGTCTGTTTGGTGGGCAGGGCGAGGCAGGACAGACCGCCTGGCCGAGCCCATTTTGTCACCTCTAACGTCAGCATTTTATATCAGCATGTAATAAGTTTTTATATTTATCCACAAAACGAAAGGTTCTTATAATTGCGTCTAGATTACTATCTATCTATATATTCTATAATTGCCTCTAAATCGACTCTCTGAGGTGTGTGTATTTGTCACATATATATTAGATGAAGAGTTGACAAATATTTGAGTTGGTATGTTTAATATTTTAACAAACACTTCATAGTTGAAGTTGAATGTGGTAATATCAAAAGAGCATTCATTAGCTTAATTGCATAAGTATAAATAATTATTCACAAAATTAACATAGATATTTAGTGCGTCATATTTAATATCAATACTACTTCAACTCTATCAACAATAATTTGGTGAATAATATGAAAAGCCAACTACTCACTGAGTTGGAAACAACTAATCATAAATAACATTAAAATAATAATATACTGCAAAACATTGAATGATCTTTCCTTTTAATTGAGTAATTAATAAGAATAAATGATTATTTTTTTGCCAGGATTTGTTACCTTAGTATTTGCAACTAAGGGTGATAAATGAACCAGAGGCCTTTCAGGTGCCTTTGGCTCAGCTCGTGAAGGCCTTAACGTACATGTCTAAAATTGGTTGTTGGAACCAGACTTGGACTTGTATAATAGCTCATTTAATAAAAAGGTCTCTGGCTCCAATTCAAAAGTTCGGGCTTAGAGCCTTTTAGGCTAGCCTAGTATATTAATTTTTATTTTTATTTTATATTTTTTTATACTACTTGTAATAGCCCTTTCTCTCTCTCTCCTTAATCCATTTCACCCCATTTTATTGGCTAAACAGACTTTTTGAATGATTTTATTCTATATTATGCTATTTGGATATACATTGAATTTAAGAATATTTATGAAATTACTAGTGCTGTTGATTGTATATTCTGTTTGGATAAGTTTTTGTTGTCTTGTTTTTTTAAACAGGTTAAACCATGCTTTTATTTTTTGTAAAAAAGTTAGGCCGCAGGCAGATAATTATATTCATAACAGGTAAATGACTTGGTTAGGCTGACACATTTAAACACAGGCTTAGGCTTTTAATACCAAAGCTCGGCCCGACTCGGCCCGTTAACACCCCTATTTGAAACTTTACAAATTAGTATTTACAAAATTGAAATCAGATTTAAGAATTTTTTTTTTTTTTTTTTTTGATAACAAGATTTAAGAATTTAATTATAAAAGATGAAGGGTGAAATTTTAATTTAATTATAAAAATATGTTGATGTGCGGGTAGGCCGAGCCCATTTTGTCATCTATAACTGTCAGCATTTTATATTAGCATGTAATAATTTTTTATATTTATCCACCCAAAAAGGTTATTATAGTTGCATCTAGATTATTAGTTATCTATGTTTTATATAGTTGCCTCTAAATCGACTTTTGGAGGTGTGTGTATTTGTGACATATATATTAAATGAAGAGTTGGTAAACATTTAAGTTAGTACGTTTAATATTCTAACAAATACTTCATGGTTAAAGTTGATGTGGTAATATCAAAAGATCATTCATTAGCTTAATTGCTTAAGTATAAATAATTATTTGAAAAATTAACATATATATATATATATATATATATATATATATATATACATACATTAAATGCATCGTATTTAATCTCAATAATACTTCAACTTTGCCAACAATAATTTGATGAAGAATATGAAAAGTCAAGTACTCACTGGGTTGGAAACAACTAATCATAAATAGCATCAAAATAATGATATACTACAAAATATTGAATAGTCATTCCTTTTAATTGAGTAATTAATAAGAATAAATAATTATCTTTTTCCAAAAATTTGTTGCCTCAGTATTTGGAATTTTACAAATTAGTATTTACAAAATTGAAATCAAATTCAAGAATTTAATTATAAAAGATAAAGGGTGGAATTTTAATTTGGGGTAGAATATTGTAACAACCAATTAGTGTTACTACCAATCAATTTCACCGTTAGATCGATTATGTTGATCCAACGGTTATATTTATTTCTATCTTTGTAAGGTTATAATTCCCCATATTTAATGTTTTCACATAAAATATGGGGAATCATAACCTTACAAAGGTAAAAATAAATTTAAGTATTAAAAATAAAAAATCATAACAATACAAATATGTAAATAAATATAACCGTTGGATCCATAGAATCGATCTAACGGTGAAATTGATTGGTAGTAACACTAATTGGTTGTTACAATATCCTTTCTCTTTTAATTTAATTATAAAAACGTGTTGGTGGGCTGGGCGTGTCGGCCCACCGGGCCGAGCCCATTTTGTCACTTCTAACTGTCAGCATTTTATATCACCATATAATAGATTTTTATATTTATCCACACAAAAAAGAGGTTTTTATAATTGCATCTAGATTACTATCTATCTACGTTTTCTATAGTTTTAAATTAATTTTAAATTCACCAAAAAAAACTCAAATTATCAATTAATTTTAAATTTCTCTTTCTATATTAAAATTTCTTATTCTCCCAAAATCTTAATCGATTATACTTTCAATTAAAAAAAAATTATTTTTCTTTCTCCAAATCTTAATTGCTTATGGATTTAAAAAAATTTATTCTAAGTCTCCATTAAAGAATGGCACATATTATTCCTAACTTTTTAAAATTTTAAATTCAAATATTTTGTATTAATTAAGAATTTTTTTAGGATTTCTTATATTCATATTGTAAGAACCCGCACCGTTAACTAATTAATTAAACAAGATTATTGATGCCGGAGCATGGATTTGATAAAGATTATGCATAATTATGATAAGATAAATATTTAGGAAGTCGAATAATGTTTTAAGTCACTTTTCTGATGAAAAGTGCAGATATCGATTCTGCTTCGCGGTATAATTGCGTATCGATGAAGTATCAAAAAATAATAATAAAAATATAAATATTCCTAGAAGAATATCTAGGTCTGGAATATCAAGTTTGGAATAAGAATAATGAGTTTTGATGTCCGAACTAGTACCTGCTGCTTGTAAAATGCGTACCGGCAAAGTTTGGTAGCAAAATGATTAGCGGAGCTTTTAGAACTAATATCGATGGATTAAGCTATATGTACCTATAAATATTATGGCACATTAACCTAGGTCTGAAACCTTAACCACTCTACGTGAATTTCTGAAGCTGCCATAGTGCTCTACCTTGTCTCCAGCTTCCCACTCCAAGAAAACCTTCAAGAGGCCATCCTTCCTCTTGATTTCTTCACCAAAAACACTAGTGTGGATTGTGAGCAAGCCTTGAGGGGTAGAAAGGCACCTCATTTCTGAGTTGTATCCACTGTGTAGAGTGAGTGAGGGCTGACTTCATTGGTTGTTGAGGTGGGAGCCATTTCCTTTGTATGTGATGATTCAAGAAGCCATTTTGTGGAGTAAAGGACCAAGCTTGTGAGATAAATTCATGGCTTTATAGTGGCAGAACCATAGGAGGGTGTATAGTGCTCTAAGATCATCCATTTGCTCTGTTTTGGAAGCTTGGTATACATTCTCAACCTTTGTTCATGAGTTTCTATGTTAAAGATTAAGTCTTGGCATGTAAAATGATATGATTGAGTAAACTAACATGAACATTAGCCTGAAGGTGTCTGAAAATGCATACTTGAACGTTTAGAAGTGTAACACCTCGTAGTACTCTGATTGTTAACATACATGATATTTAGCATACACAGCGGAAGACTTTATTTTAAAGAATAATAAAACGTCTTACGAAAATATGAATAAAATTTTTCCACAACGTTTTATGAAACATTTCAAAAAAACATTCACTTGAGATACTGCGAAAGCGTAAATCTAAAACATACATCTACTAATTAATCC